GGCACTTTAATGAGGAGGGGGATACATAAGGGGAACGTGTGAGGCAGTTGGGTTGAGTTGGTTGGAGATGAAGCTGCAAAGAGATTCAAGAGAAGTCCGGGACCTCGCCCTAACCCAGCGGTGTTGGCTGAACCCCCGCTGGGGCAACGGGCGAGGTTGGAGGCGCGGGTGCGGACAGGCTAGCAGTGGAGAGGCTGGCGGAATCTTTAGTCCGATGTGCGACAGGCGAGCGGGGTGAGAAGCTAGCAGAGTATACGGAGCGAGAGAAGGAGGGAGAGTCCGTGACAGGCGAGGAGAGCGGAATAGAGTGGCACGGGAGAAAAGATTAAGTTGTCCGCGTGAATAAACACAACACTACAGTAGTAACAGCCACAGCCGTAGCAGCAGCGGCAGCGCTAGGTGTTGTTATCCATAACAGGTGTTCTTCGGGTTAGATCGCGTAAATATAAATGTGTCCTTAAACCCACCGCCGCCGCCGCCACCACTACCAACCCGACACGGCCAATTATAGCAGGGTTTGTGTCACAGAAGCATCAGGTGGCCAATTAGTGACCGGCTCGGCGCACACGGCTTGTGCGCCTTAGAGAAGTTGCCCTTTGGGCATTCTGAGCGATTTTTTTTTTACATTTCTGATCCCCCCCACCCACCCCCCCCCCCCATAAATTTTACCTCCTTAAAAATCGGCTGACCAACGGAAAGGTCGGCGCCGAGCTTCACGTCCACGGAGCTGACAAGGAACATGGACAAAGAACAAAGGTTGGGGGGGGGGAGGGCCTGTCGCTGTTAGCCGGCCCCATGAAACCACAGGGATTATCTGTGCAACCCGCCAATGTTGCAACCCACGTGGAACATCTCTTGAGATGTTCCACGTGGCACATCACCTGAGATACCTCGTGGACCATCTTCTGAGATACCTCGTGGATCATCACCTGAGATACCACGTGGATCATCACCTGAGATACCACGTGGACCATCTTCTGAGATACCTCGTGGATCATCACCTGAGATACCACGTGGACCATCTTCTGAGATATCTCGTGGACCATCACCTGAGATACCTCGTGGACCATCACCTGAGATACCACGTGGATCATCACCTGAGATACCTCGTGGACCATCACCTGAGATACCTCGTGGACCATCACCTGAGATACCACGTGGACCATCTTCTGAGATACCTCGTGGACCATCACCTGAGATACCACGTGGACCATCTTCTGAGATACCTCGTGGACCATCACCTGAGATACCACGTGGACCATCACCTGAGATACCTCGTGGATCATCACCTGAGATACCACGTGGACCATCACCTGAGATACCTCGTGGATCATCACCTGAGACACCACGTGGTCCATCACCTGAGATACCACGTGGAACATCACCTGAGATACCACGTGGACCATCACCTGAGGTACCTCGTGGACCATCACCTGAGATACCACGTGGACCATCACCTGAGATACCACGTGGACCATCACCTGAGATACCACGTGGTCCATCACCTGAGATAACACGTGGATCATCACCTGAGATACCACGTGGACCATCACCTGAGATACCACGTGGATCATCACCTGAGATACCACGTGGACCATCACCTGAGATACCACGTGGTCCATCACCTGAGATACCACGTGGACCATCACCTGAGATACCTCGTGGATCATCACCTGAGATACCACGTGGACCATCACCTGAGATACCACGTAGACCATCACCTGAGATACCACGTGGTCCATCTCCTGAGATAGCACGTGGACCATCTTCCGAGATACCACGTGGACCATCACCTGAGATACCACGTGGTCCATCACCTGAGATACCACGTGGTCCATCACCTGAGATACCACGTGGTCCGTCACCTGAGATACCTCGTGGACCATCTTCCGAGATACCACGTGGACCACCTTCTGAGATGTCCGTACAGAATATTGGGAAAAGACCGTTGTAGGTTGGACAGGAGAGATGCTGACGAAGAAGGTAGTCAATTAAACATGACATAATGTTGTGTTACAATTAATGTTAGTATTATGGATATTCATATCTGTTCAAACAAGTAGCAGACGCTCAGTCAGGAACATAACCCCCACCCCCTGTTGTATATTATCGCTGTAAACCAGTCCAAATAAGCCGGGGACATTGCGAAAATATCGAGGCAGCACCTTCCGAACAACGTTAATATTACGTACCATTGGTAATTCATCAATTAAATCTGCATATTGTTTGTACACGATAAGTTTTTTTGGGGGAAGATCGCGACACAGCCTGCCTATTGTGGATCCATCTCGACTGACGACGTTTCAATTCACGGGGCCTTTTCCAGGAACGTAACCCGACGTAGGTCCGAGGAGCGCCTGTACAGGTTGCACTCGCACACACACTGCTGCAGGTGTCAAGGTCAAGTGTGCGTGCGTCTACACACGTTGGGCTTCTTTAGCGCCGTACGCAGCCAACCGTTCTACTCGGAGGTGCGGAGTGTTGAGTCTGTGGTGCAGTGTTGAGTTGATTCTGCAGTGTTGAGTCTATGGTGCAGTGTTGAGTCTGTGCTGAAGTGTTGAGTTGATTGTGCAGTGTTGAGTCTGTGGTGCAGCGTTGAGTCTGAGGTGCAGTGTTGAGTTGATTGCGCAGTGTTGAGTCTGTGGTGAGTGTTGAGTCTATGGTGCAGTGTTGAGTCTACGGTGCAGTGTTGAGTCTACGGTGTAGTGTTGAGTCTATGGTGCAGTGTCGAGGCTACAGCGCAGTGTTGAGTCTATGGTGCAGTGTTGAGTCTATGGTGCAGTGTTGAGTCTATGGTGCAGTGTTGAATCTATGGGCAGTGTTGAGTCTATGGGCAGTGTTGAGTCTATGGTGCAATGTTGAGTCTATGGTGCAATGTTGAGTCTATGGTGCAGTGCTGAGTCTATCGTGCAGTGTTGAGTCTATGGTGCAGTGTTGAGTCTATGGTGCAGTGTTGAGTCTACCGTGCAGTGTTGAGTCTATGGTGCAGTCTTGAGTCTGTGGTGCAGTGTTGAGTTGATTCTGCAGTGTTGAGTCTATGGTGCAGTGTTGAGTTGATTCTGCAGTGTTGAGTCTATGGTGCAGTGTTGAGTCTATGGGGAGTGCTGAGTCTATGGTGCAATGCTGAATCTATGGTGCAGTGTTGAGTCTACTACTGCTACTGCTGCCGCTACAACTGCTATCACTATTTTAAATCAAACGTGTCGACAGGTTCAACAGTGGGGGTTCTTCTCTCTCTCCGCGATTCATCCACGCCGCGCGGTCGGGCGGGCAGGCGGGGGGGGCATTAAATTGGCATCGCGTCAGCCGTGCCAAAAGGCCTCTTCACGCGGCAGTGTGGGGGTGGAAGCAGGCGTTCAATTAGAGTCAGGATTTCTCCCGCCTAATTGTAGTAATTCACTGGTGGGCCCGTGGCCACAACATCTGTGGCACCCATAAAGGCTACGCCGCTTGCCTGCTGCGCAGCAGGAGGCCGTGGGTTCGATCCACGACCCATGGCGACGCCCGCCGCTGCATTGTTGGAGTCTGCGTCTCTCTCTCATCATCATCATCACGGTGGCTATGAGATGTTAACCACCTCGCCCCGTACGTGGTAGGGCGTGGGTTCGATCCCCGATTCCTGGTGACGCTGGCCGCTGTATATGTGGAGTCTGCGTCTCTCTCGCATCATCATCATCACGGTGGCTATGATATGTTAACTACCTCGCCTGATCTACTGGAGGTCGTGGGTTCATTCCTAACCCTGACGACGCCTGCTGCTGCATATTTGGAGTCTGCGTCTCTCTCATCATCATCATCACGGTGGCTATGAGATGTTAACTATCTCGCCTGGTCTACAGGAGGTCGTGGGTTCATTCCTAACCCTGACGACGCCTGCTGCTGCCGCTGTATATTTGGAGTCTGCGTCTCTCTCTCATCATCATCATGGTGGCTAGAAGATGTTAACTACCTCGCCTGGTCTACAGGAGGTCGTGGGTTCATTCATAACCCTGACGACGCCTGCTGCTGCTGCTCCTGTATATTTGGAGTCTGCGTCTCTCTCATCATCATCATCACGGTGGCTATGAGATGTTAACTACCTCGCCCCGTAACTGGCAGGTCGTGGGTTCGATCCCCGATTCCTGGCGACGCCTGCCGCTGTATACGGTGAAACCCTTCCTCTTAGCGACGGCGATTGGCTTCCACGAAACTGCCCGTGAAACGATTTGATATAGGAAATGCACGTTAAAGGCTCGATATGTTCTGACAGCATCGAAGGTTATGCCCCCTCCCCCTTTTATCACCCAAACAACGTGCTGTATAATATTTAAACAATGGATATTAATATACAAAGATATATAACAACGTTATGAACGCATGTTAAAAAGAGAAACGCGGTTAATCGATGCATCAATTAATATTTACTGTACCTACAACAGACTGTCGTTAACAGGGGAATGGCCAGGAAGCAGACCACATATTGCTCAATGGTGGCACTCCACTACACACTACACTAGATACTACACCATACACTACTATACACTACACTATACACTACTATAAACTACACTATAGACTACACTATACACTACTATAAACTACACTATAAACTACTATAAACTACACTATAAACTACTATACACTACACTATACACTACTATAAACTATACTATAAACTACACTATACACTACCATACACTACACTATACACTACCATACACTACACTATAAACTACTATACACTACACTATAAACTACTATACACAACACTATACACTACACTATACACTACTATAAACTATGTTACTATACACTACTATAAACTATGTTGCTATACACTACTATAAACTATGTTACTATACACTACTATAAACTATGTTACTATACACTACTATAAACTATGTTACTATACACTACTACAAACTACACTATACACAACTATAAACTACACTATAAACTACACTATACGCTACACTATAAACTACACTATACACTACTATCAACTGTGTTACTATACACTACTATAAACTATACTATACACTACTATAAACTATTTTACTATACACTACTATAAACTATGTTACTATACACTACTATAAACTACACTACAATACAGTACGCTGCTACACACTGCACTATTATACACGACACTACACATTCGGCTTTATGGAGGCCCGTGGTGGAAATTGATAGCAGTACTCAAATACTCGATATGCACTTTGATTCTAAATGTGGAGGGGGAAAAAACCGGAGGGATCCGGAGAAAAATCCACGTGACCACCACAGGGAGAGAGAGACGCAGACTCCAAATATACAGCAGCAGCAGGCGTCGTCAGGGTCGGGGTAGAACCCACGACCTCTTGTATACCAGGCGAGGTAGTTAACATCTCCCAGCCACCGTGATGTTGATGACGATGAGAGAGACGCAGACTCCAAATATACAGCAGCAGCAGGCGTCGTCAGGGTCGGTATCGAACCCACGACCTCCTGTACACCAGGCGAGGTAGTTAACATCTCATAGTCACCGTGATGATGATAATGACAGAGAGAGACGCAGACTCCAAATATACAGCAGCAGGCGACGTCAGGGGTCAGGGATCGAACCCACGACCTCCCGCGCACCGGGCGAGGTAGTCAACATCTCCCAAGCCACCGTGATGATGATGACAGAGAGAGACGCAGACTCCAAATATACAACAGCAGCAGCAGGCGTCGTCAGGGTCAGGGATCGAACCCACGACCTCCCGCGCACCAGGCGAGGTAGTCAACATCTCCCCAGCCGCCACGGCGTCCTGGAAAGCACGCTGTTAAAACAGCGCGGCAGGCGGCGGCGTCGCCTTTACGGGTGCCACAGATGCGTGGCCACAGAACCACGAGTTAATTACTTGGAATGGACGGGGGGGGGGAAGAAAAAATCCCGACTCAAATCGAATGCCGGTTTCTCCCCCCCCCCGCCCCCCACCCCCCCACCAACAGCAGCAACCGCGCCGAGAGGTTTGCTGGCACGGCTGACGCGATGCCGATTTTTATGCCCCTCGCGTGGTGCGGACGAGAGGGGAGGGGGGCAAAAAAACAAAGACAAAAAAAAGGGAAAACGAAAGGAAAAAAAAGAGACAAAAGAGAGGAGAGAGGAAAAAAGAGAGAAAATTCAATTAAAAGAGAGATTTTAAAAAAAGGAGACAAAGAGAGAGAGAAAAACTAGAGAAAAAAAGAGGAAAAATAGAGAAAAACTAGAGAAAAAATAGAGAGAGAGAGAAAACAAGAGGGGTAAAATAGAGAGAAAGACAGAAAAAAGCGGGGAAAAAATAGAGAGAATGAGAGAAAAAAAAGAGGAAAAATAGAGAGAAAAACTAGAGAAAAAATAGAGAGAGAGAAAACAAGAGGGGAAAAATGGAGAGAAAAACGAGAGGGGAAAAAACAGAGAGCAAGAAAAATTAGAGAAGAGAGACACAACCAACTCCACCGTCGATTTTTTTGCCGCGTCCCATTTGAAAACCGGCGTCTTCCGAGGAGAAAGAAAGAACGAGATAGAGGGAGAAAGAGAGAGAGGGAGGCGTTCACGTCCACCGATAGATTTTAAAAATCGATCGAAATCCCCGAGAGAGTTCTTTCTTCTAAGCGCTTGCAACGCCTTCTTACCCCCCCCCACCCACCCCCATTACGAGATGATCGTCGTCGGCGTCGGCGTCACCGTAACAGAACCCTGAAGACGAGAGCGTGTCATCATTGAACACGGGAGCGCGCGGTGTAATTACACCGCGCGCTCCCGTGTTCTTGATGACACTGTGGGGGGGGGGGGACATTTAGATTTCACGAAAATTCACGGCGACGTGGTTGTGCGTCGCCGCCGCCGCCACCGCCGCCGTCATTTTTTAAACAGACAGCGGCGGATTTTTGACGATGGGGGGGGGGGGGGGGGGGGGGGGGGGGTGGCGTGGGTGAGCGGAAGGGGACGGCGGTAGGGGGGAAATATTCAGAGTTGCGCCCGGCGGGTCGACGGAGCCGTTTTTGGTTTCCCCGCCCGGAAATTGTTTGCGATTTTTTTTTTCTCGCGTGACGGGAGCCCCCCCCCGAGCCACGGCGGGAGTCTCCGAGCCAACTGCCGGGGGCCGACAAAATTTGTTCCCAAGCACTCGCCTGTGACCCAAAGTCAACCCCCGGGATTGGCGCCCCGATCCGAGGTCTCGCCCACGGCGGCTAGGAGAGGTTGACAACCTCGCCTGGTATACAGCAACAGGCCGTGGGTTCGATCCCGACCTTATTTGAAGTTTGCGTCTCTCTCTCTCATCATCACGGTGGCTAGGAGATGTTCACTACCTCGCCTGGTCTACAGCAGCAGGCCGTGGGTTCGATCCCGACCTTATTTGAAGTTTGCGTCTCTCTCTTTCTCATCATCATCATCACGGTGGCTAGGAGATGTTAACTACCTCGCCTGGTAATGCAGCAGGCCGTGGGTTCGATCCCAACCCTGACACCTGCTCCTTATTTGAAGTTTGCATCTCTCTCTCTCTCTCATCATCA